AGACAATAATGAAACGGAACAGACAATCTCCAAAGACATGCTCATCCGAGAGACAGCAGCCTCACAGTAAGACAGCAGAAACGAGAGCTGCAGGGACACTGCAGTGCACCGTCACTAATAATAGTCATGACGGTTATAATTAGAACTGCAGATCAGCTGTATAGATCGGGCCGGGTCACATTGCTGTTTGGAATATACGAATCAAGAATATACCTCTAAATACTGGAACTTAAAATGGGTCTGAAACTATTGATACATTGAAACAGTTGAAAATATAAAACATGATGTGTGGAAAAAGTTATATTTGTGTGAACTCAAAAACGGACAAAGATGTTTTAAAAAAAAGGGAGTGTTTCATCCTCAGAATGATGTATTACTGAAATGATATTCAATATTGTTATTTCATTTGGTTCATTGGTTGGTTCCAAATCTTAGTGATGTAATGACTACATTGTTTATCTTAATGTTTTCATCTCTGAATGACAGGAGAAAGCCCAGGGTTACATATATGAACTATTTCCCCCCCTTAAAATCAATTTGCTATCCTTTAAAGCAGAAAACAGGCTGTAACTAGCAAATGTTTCCCATTATCATAATCCTCGTATAATTTCCTGAAGACAAATTAAAATACTAATTATTTCCGCAGCAGTGTGAATAGACTGACATTAATTCACTCTCAACAGCAGCGAGCACACGAAGCCTGCAGCAACCCCCCCCCCCACCCCCCATCCCCATCCCCATCCACGGTTCCAACAGACACGCACTCAACTTTGACCTGCAGCCACACAGTGCGGCGGCCATCTCAGCGCTGGCGTGGAACAGTAACAGCATCTGACAGAACCCAGATGGCCCCCTGCAGGCTACGCTCATCAAGATCAGGCAAAGGGGAGGCGAGGCCTTCCAAAAAAAGCAGAGCAGCCAATGACACGTCTCTCATATGTCACTCGTGTCGCACACGGACGCGGCGCTCCGCGGAGCTACCGGCCTCCTTGGTCTATCCTCACGTCACCGGTGCCCTTTCCCTGAGACGGAGCCTCGGATGAGAGTAGAAGCGGAGCGCTCGGCGTTTGATTGAATCGAAGTGTCTGTAATGAGATGCAGAGGAGGGTCCGATCCTGAATCATGACTCAGAATTACCCTTTAAAATTTACCTTTGAGGAGCCGCAAGGCCTCGGAGAGAAACACATTAGCATAATATATTCACCAAAGGACGGAGGCGGCGTGAGAAAAGAGATGAGAAGCAGTTTCACTTCCCCAGCTAAGTAGGCGTTGGTGCTGCCTCACTGCAGAAAGAGAAACCTCTTATGTATGAGACACTTGTTAAAAATAGGATGCATCTCATAACACCACGAATCTGTTTCATTGGCGAGCTGGTTGATCATTTCAAAATATTAATAGAGCAGTGTCTGCTCTTAAAATAAGATTCTGTGCATACGCATCATGATACATTTTCTAGAGGTGCGAAAGTCTAAAGGCAGACTGGTTTTACCTTTGACCTCATATTTACTCTGGAAAGAAAATGTGTGTTTGTAGGATGATAAGCCTTGAAATGTGTAGGCTTTCAATGGCAATGGATTTCATATCTTCCAACTGCACATCATTTGACCTGTAGCGCTCTTATTTTGGCGATCTCATGGCTGTTGTCAGTTAAGGTTCAAGCATCCTTCGCTGTCACTTCCAATAGACTATGCAACAGATTGACATCTGCCAACTCCTATCGACTTCTCCCAAATCCATTTCTATCTTCTAGTGCTCGAGTCCGAGTGGAGCGAGCAGCGGATTCTTTCCTTCACTCACAGCCTCACATTTAATTGGCACTTAATTAACAGTTACTCATCTTTAGGTTGTGGGAAGCCAAACGCAGTGACATTTTTTTTTACTGGTTTTGTAAAGAATACGATTCCCTTGTGGTAAAATCTAATAGTGTTTATACTGCGCTTCCACACAAACGTCTTGCCAGAAAATTCTACATCTTGAAATTGAAAGAAGTGTACTGACGGAGTCCATGACGGAACGCAAACGAACCCCCATTCAAACGGAAATGAACAGCTCACAAACTCCACGAGCGAAGACTTAATACAAACGTGGAACGACAGCGAGTCTCCCTCTGAAGGACCAGGAGTCCCCGGCTCCGGCCCACTTCATCAGAGACCACAAAGCCTGGAGCGGCTGGATGGAACAGCGCGGGCGACTCCTTCAACCTCGAATGCACTTAAAGCACACGATCTATCGCAAACTATTCCACCTCAAGAGTTTATTGTGCTTTTTCTCCGACAGAGACTGAAAACCGGAGTGCAAAGCACAACTGAATTTAAGGATTACAGCTGTTATGCAACAGCTGGATTCAAGTTTGCTTGGGAAAGCATATTGTGCCTAATACGGTAACACAAAAAAAAGCAATGTGGAAAAAATGCTAAAGGGAGGAGGGGGGGTGCAATTCCCAGTGACGAGTTTTCTAGGCCGTTGATAAATGATGCAGGCGATGTGTCAGTTTTCAAAAACAATGTCTGTCTCCAGAGTTCAGCAGTTCGCCGCAGACACAATGAGCAGGAAAATGACTGAAATTCTACAAGCTGATAATTATATATATATATATATATATATATATATATATATATTTTTTTTTTAAAGCAGTTTGAAATCGACTGTTTTTCTGATGCCATTTATAAACATTTTACATGTCTACAGATCAGAATGCAGAAGCGACAGTGGATAAAGATCTGCAGGGCACCACGATGGGCCCATGTGGGCCTCGGAGACAGATCTATAATACATGATGATGGTTTCTAAAGTGGGCTCTTACGCAGTACCTGGGTTGTGATTACATAACTGCTTTACTGAAATGTTGTGTCGGGGCACATCCGACCTCTCACCAATCTCACACACACACACACACACACACACACACACACACACACACACACACACACACACACACACACACACACACACACACACACACACACACACTCGGTTTGGAGGCTTGTTGAGGGGTTAGTTGTACCTGCAGGAGGAGCAGCACTTTCTCTGTCCCCTCAAGCCAACATAAGTGGTCGGACCGTAATCCAGATACACAAACTGCACCGGGCGCTACTACAGGTCATGTGATTAAGCCCCTGCTTTACTATCATGAGTCACGCCAATGACAAAGTGCTAATTAATGGCGGAGTAGTGTATAGCAGAAGCTATTGACTGAAAAAAGTACCTTTACTAAAGTGTGACATCTAAATGATGAATAGAAATGCAAATTATGTTTGAAAGTGCAGGTCACTGAAATTGCAAAGATGAATTCATTTCGGGTGTTTTTTTAAATTATTCATCTATGTCTCTTAAGTTGTCTCTCCAGTAAAAGAAAAGTTTTCACCCAAACTACTTTCTTCTGAAGGAGCATTCTCGATGAACATTTCTCCCACCATAGATCCCCGAGGGGCCCAGTCATCTAGCCCCCCCCCCCGACGCCCCGCCCCACTGCTTCTAGCTTCATAAATCATTTTTCATTTCAGAATTTTATTCCAAATAACATAATTTGTACGTGCCATCAAATAGTGTGTCCAAACAAAGGCGTTCTATTGTAATAAATAAGGACCATCCGGACCCAGCGGATCTATAAGAGGGAAACACTATTTCAATGAAACAATTGCAACTTGAGATCTAACGGCTGGTATTACAGAAAGGCCGGCGTTGTGAGTCGAGGCGAGAGAGACGGCGAGAGGTCGAAAGGGAGGAGGCGAGGCATCGAGGGGGCGGGACTTCGAAAACGGCGCGGCCCACGGAGGCGACGGATGTTGCCTAAACACCGTCATTAAAAAGGGAACATGGGAGCCGGTTTGCAGCTGCGGGGGAGCACCACCGCATATGTGATAGTAAGTATTAAGCATCGTGCATTTGGCCGCTCCAGAGGGAGCTGCGTAACAGCTGGAAACTTGCCTCGAGTGGCTGATGTCTCCGAGGTCACTTAGCAGCTAATATCATAACATCTGCAGGGCAGTGGGGGTTGACGTGGAACAAGGGATGTGGTGCGTGAAAAAGATGATGCATCCGGGTCTGCAGAACAGATTGTTATCTATTTTGTCAAATTATTTTTTATTTGTACTGGTTACATCAATTCTTTCTCCCCATTGTGACAAAATATCAAACCAATCTGTTGAGTGGTTGTGAATACAAAAATATCACATTTCTTTATAATTGCTTGGAAGTTGTTTATCGTGTCTAAACGTCCCGTCTTTGTTGCTGTTGACTGCGGCCCACATCGGGGGGGAGGGGGGGGGGGGGGTTACAGGCCCAAAAAGGTAAAGAACCAATGATTCGAAACAAACAGTCCATAAAACAAAGAAAAAATGAGACTTAAATATTTTTCTGCATTCAAATATGCGTGATACATTAATTGTACATATGTACATTAGAAAAAATTAAATAGAAAATAAATCTATTACGCAGCAAGAGATGACATAAAGCTCCCATGTACACTACAGGGGTTAGTACATTACACATTATCCAATAGAACCTGGAGCTGAACCAATTAGTAGATTAATCAATTGAGTCATTTCCAATCATGTGAGCAAGAATAACACTGCACCAGTTTCTGCTTTTCTAATAGGATAGAACATTAGTAAATAATCAAACAAACAATTAAATGACAGGCTGGGCTTAAAAAATGAGATATTTCCCCATCTCTGACATTTATGGCGAAAAATGAAACAATCCTGTAATCGGACAATGAAAATAAATAGCCAGAGAGTGACATTTCTTTTAAGTCTGTTAACTGTCTGTTTGTTTGACGCGGATGTCGGTACGTGAGAAGCCGGGTGGAGAAGCAGAAGATGCAGAGGCGAGATTTCTCTCAAATTGCATTTTCTTTTGGCCCAAAACAATGAAACATGAGTGGAAAGTGCTTTTCACTGGTGAACAGCCACAACAAAAACAACCCCAGAGGAAGATCCCCTCCATCGGCAGAGCCCTTACTGTGCACATTCCCCTGCATTAATGTGCGCATGACTTACCAAAGAGCTGGCGGTGGAATATAAACTTCCCGGCTAGCATGCCGGTGATTATGGCGAGTATCCAGCATACTACTTTCAGGACGTTCCATCCGAGGCCCGGGTACTTGTTGAACAGGAAGGAGAAGCAGTTGCCCACCACGATCATGTGGGCCTCCGTCTGACTGTGGGAGATGGGGTCCTCGGCGAAGATGAGGAAGTTGAAGAAGGTGACGAGGTAGGCCACGATGAGGCGCGACCACGGGTGCTGGAAATAGTAGCGAAAGCGGGCATCTATTTCCATCCTGCTGAGCCCCTCGGCCACACTGCACCTGGGAGTCAGAGAGAGGGAGAGAGTGGGGGGAGAGGGGGGGGGGGGGGGAGAGAACTCCTTTCAGTCACATTGGATTACACTCGAATCAGTAGGGCAGATTGGAGTGAAAACACCCCTCGGTCGGAGATTAGAGGGAGGACTATAACTGGAGTTTTGTGCAGAGTGGGATTATGCTAAACTCAGACAGCTCTAGATCAGCACCAGTGTCAATAATGCGTCCTACGTTGGAGATTTCCCCCCCCCCCCACATCGACACTCATCACACAAAACACGCCGGGGCGTCTCGATGCGTCTGGCCGCGAAACAGCAAACAAAGAAGAAAAACTAGAACTGTAAACTTCAAGGAAGAAGTTGACAGTTGGAGAGACTCCACATCAGTCAGTCAAACGGGCCGCGGTGCGAGTGTCACACCCGGCTCAGGTAGAATCGCGGCGCCCTGAGCTGCAAAGCGCCGGCTTATCCTCTCAGCACCGGCTGATCCGGGCTGCGCTCAAATATTAAAAGATTCTTTACGTGGCAGTATTTGGCCCGGCGCTTTTGCTGCCAAGAAGCGGCACCGCTTGAGTAACTTCCAGAAGCCGCCCGCCCCTCGGAGACTTCAGAGCAGGAGGAGTCCACTCAGAACTCCCCCGTTGTTTCCCACTGGGACTCGATTGAACTTCTCCTTTGACACGGTTTCCTAAAAATACCCCACGGTGGGGTATTGGGGATGATGCGAGGACTTCAGAAATAGAGCTGCCAGAGTGAAAACCCCCCATGGGGGGGGGGGGGGGGGATTAGATTTCCCTGGCATCATGTTTGTCCCGTCATTTCGTGCCACCTTGGGTCGAGCTGAGGGAGCGATTTCACTTACAGGAGGTGGAATCAATCAGAATCTCCTCCGTCCATTGGAACCATTAAAAAGGAGAGCCGCTCCCAGTTTGAGGCGAGCGCCTTCTGACCCGGAGAGTCCCCAACGTGCACCCAAAGGACACCCAGGAAAACCAGAGGAGAACATTGCAAACAGTTGATCATCAACAGGGGTGTGTGTACTGGCACAGAGAATCCTTATTCGTCCAGCTGCTCATAATACATCCTCTGGGCTTTTTCCTTCATAAACCATACAAATTACATTTTGAACTGACCCAATAACAACAGGGCTTTTAGTGCTACAGGAAAAGCACTAAACGGGCCAACAACCGGTCCAGATCTGCCATCCTTGAACAGACAACAGTTGATAAGAGCATAAGTCTGTGAACGGGGGCGCACACGGGTCACACTACACACACATAATAGATAGAAAGCCTAGACAACTACTTCTTTTATGTCGAAGGGGACGTCGCCAGATGTCACATCGCCGACCACACACACACACACATACCTCGAAGATAACACAAGCTTGGCTTAAATGATCCGATTACACTACTTTAATGTCGATGCACGCGGCGACATCTGGGACGGCCACGAAAATCGTGCGCGAGCCCCGCCACGTGCACGTGCGGTTAAATCAAAACCCCGTCACGAACGCACCTGCTCCACGCCAGTTTTGGGGGTTCTTCGGTCGCCAGCGCAAGGGACGAGCAGCCCACCGGTACCGCTCGGTTCTCTCCGGTCACATGAAGCCGACAGCGACGCTGTGATTGTCCCAAAACGATGACATGACACGGGTTAGGGTCGTGGAGGGATTATCCACGCGACCTGTTGTTGATATACAACACAGGTGCCCCCAAATCCCCTGCCATTGTGCTGGACCGTCCACGCGCCGGGGCTGGCTCGCTCAGCCGGGCGGCGCTTCCTCGGCGGGTCCCCGACGAACGGTGCGGTTTCCCGGGCCGTTAAGCCGCTGCTGCTGTGGAGCGGATGGAGATGGCCGGGTCCACTCAGCGAGCGTAGCATCTGGGCGCCGCGATGTCGCCGACAGACATTGTGCACGAGCGTCGAGTCAGAGCCGGTGGTCCCTTGCCACTTCCGCTAATACCTTTCAGAATAAAAATGAACCGACACGTTTTTTGAAAGTGAGGGACTATTTTGTTGAAAATATTTTATTTAGGGTATGTCTAGCCTTTGTTCTAAATGTATTACAACTCATTGCGTACAATTATGAAATGATGAGGCTTAAAAGCCAATTTTAGCGTTTGCAGCACTGGACCATATCGTTCCTTTTTAAATGACACAATTCACGGCTGTATTTTGAAGATGGGTTGACATTGTTTCCGGTATTGCTCTGTGTGTTGTTCTGACCCAAAGAGCTGATATTCCCCCTGGGTATGGGATGATGCTATCAAATCAAGCTATAAAATCATTTTTTTTAAATGTATTTATTGACGTGGACTAGGAGAGAAGGAGGGACACGCAGACAGAGACAGAAAGCCCGGTGGCTTAACAGATGTTTCACGTACGCCAAATGAGATGTGAGGTGGAAATCTCCCCGCTGTCACACATGGGACCTAACGGTATATATAATATATAGACTGTATTAATGCCTAGTATTTGGGACAAAGTGGTGCGTAGGTCCAATAAGGCAGGACCACCCTTTTGGATAATGTAATAAGCACACTCTTAAACGAATCGGGCATGAATACAATTAATTACAACCATTCGCAGCACACAAAACAGAGGCTCTTTGTGTCCCCGAGGTCAAAGGGCGTTTGAATGCTTCGCACAGTCGGTAGGTGCTATTGTTATATTTCAGTAGTGGGATGTCACTGAGTATATTGAGTGAAATAGTTGTACTTTAGTGCCATTTTGAGGTACTTTGTTTGAGTATTAGTATCCATTACAACGTCTACTCCAATAGATTTAATGTGAATATTGAACTTATTTTGCAAATCCAGACTTTGCATCCAAAACAAATGATCGGCTTATGATGTATGATACATTCACCTAGATCAAACTACCCAAAGCTTTATGAATTATTTGGTATTTGGACCCTCTTTACCAGGGGCCCCTCTTCGACCAATAAAAAATGCTGCTTGCATTTATGTATATAAATCAAATAAGAATCATTATGTGTCATTCTGCTGCATACTGAGTATATATTCTTATTTTCATACTTTAGATAGATATTCTCATGATCTTTTTTCTGTTACATTTTGAACTAATGTTTTAAACTAAACACGTTATTATCCAGAAATGCCGACTGTATATTCATAGAATAAAAAGTAAAGAAACAGTTTGACTGTGTCATGTGATTTTGGCTGTCGATGACGTCCGACTTGGGGCGGGTGACGTCAGTGTAGTCCACTTCCTGCTTCTCTTCCCTGGTCTCTACCGAACAGCTGCATCAGCCCTTTATCCGACGAAGAGACACAATGTCACACCAAACGGGTATTCAAGGTACACGCGGTCCTCTGCTTCAACTGTCCGCGTCTCAATGCGTTGTGCTGCTTCTGTCTTTGTTTGTGTGTCCGTCGTTGTGCGCGCGCGACGCGCGTGATTCCCGGGCGAGCTGCAAGTACCTGCAACGAGAGGCTAGCGTCAAGTTAGCTAGCCGCTCCTAGCTAGCTTTGAGCTACCGTGTGTGTGTGCGCGTGTAATCACCGGTGCCCTATTTGGGCACTTTGAGGACAGTGAGGTTTAATCCCCGAGTGTTTAGCCACTCGTTTCTGGGGCTCTTGAATCACGGCTGTTTCGTGTTTGTTCCACGTCAGTGACAGTAGCGTGGAATGTCGTAACGTTAGCTAGTTTCGCCTTCTAGGAGGATGGGTGACGCCTTCGTCTGAACGAACTGTACTGTCGTATAGTTCCATGCATATGAACATCACCGGTGACACCGGCTCCGGTGGGGCGTGACTCTTTGTTTTGAGGTTTAACGGCGTGACACATTACGAGTTAATGACAGACGGGCAGATTATGCACGATTAGACTTTACATTCAACCTCATACTACACTCAACGTAACCAGTTAGATGTTCTTGTACACATTATCATAAATTGTATTGGGTATAATCAGGTGTGCTTATCTTGTGATTTATTTGTTTTATTAAAGCAGACGTCAGAATCTTCTGAAAGCATTATTGTGAATGTTACATAAGGGCAAAGGCTGATATGATGTAGGAGTCACACTGCTCACACCTGTCTGTAGCTGACTAGAATACACATGTAGAAATTAATCCAGAGACATTGCTTCTGTGGCTAAAACTGCTTCTAATGTTTCATGTATTATGAATTTAAGCACTTGAGCTTGTATCCGTTCTGGTGTTAAAGGAAATGGTTCCTTCCTCATGTGTTTTATATATATATATATATATATATATATATATATATATGACCATATATATATATATATACACACACACCACTAAGACATAGCATTATTTTTTATAGCATTATTTTTTATTTTATTACTGTCTGCTGTTACGCACCCACCGCCAAGTCAAATTCCTTGTATGTCTGACATGTTCTGGCAATACATCCTTCTTGATTCCTGATTCCTCATGTTGCTTGCAGAGATGTATTCTTAATGTGACTTGATCATTTTGCTGCGAGTGCAGTATAATTTTACTGTTAAAGGACTATGGAAATAAATAACCGTTTAAAATCATAGAAACGGGACAATAGAAGTAAACATGTCAATGAGCTAGCTAAAAAGATGATTCTATGGTCTTTGTGGTGGACCTTGCTTTCCGGCCCTGAAAGTGCCCATGTTAGTTTGAAATGGTCGGAGACTGACGGCGTCTCTCTGCTCTTTTCTCGCAGCGGGTAACGATGTGAAGGACATCTTCGCCGGTGCCCGGAGCGGCGACCAATATCGAGTCTTAAAGATGGTCATCGATGGTGGTAAGCAGTCCCCCCGAGTTCTGACATTTGCTTACAGCTTCTTCTGCAACCCCCCCCTCCCTCCCTCAACCTTTCGTGTCTTCCCAAACTACTTTCGAGGCCGACATTAGAATGTCAACACATCCCCGGCACTGCTGACCTTTTTCCTCGCACACATCTGCTTTCCAGAGCAGCTGACGATGGACACTACCAGGAAAGCATCGAAGAAGTGGGACGCCGAGTATGATTCCTTGGTGCTGCCCCTCCTGCAGGACGACATGCCCTGCTACATCCTCTACCGGCTGGACTCCTCCAACAACCAGGGCTATGAGTGGATCTTCCTGGCCTGGTCGCCGGACGTCTCCGCTGTAAGAGAAGCCCGCCGAGACCGCCTGTAATGAGTAGCTTTCCATGCTTTACAGCGTTTGCCCCCTTCTGGGTGGGGTTACCACATGAAGGCAGCCGTCCTGTGTACGCCGGTGAAAACTGGCTGCTTTCATTATTTTCTAACAGACCTCTTGAAATCTAAACACTGGTAGGGATTATGTTCTTTTCTAAATAACACGGTACTTTGTCTGAACCTCCAATCGCGACTTAAAATTGACCCTCTGGGGTTTTTGTGTGATGTAAGCGTAGCTCGCTGGGGTCTTTACTGGCAAATGTTTGTTTATCGAGTTCTCTTTGTAATTTGGTTCCATTGAAACTTGATGAGCCACTTTTGGGACCGTTTTGCCGCGGTTCAAAATGGCCACGAGAAACCGGAATGTTTCTGGAGCGGTGCTACATCTGACCGCTCTGGGCCAAAACAAAGCGCCATGCAGGAAGTTTGAATCCTCTTTCGAGAAGCCCTAACGGTGCAGAACATTCCTGCCCTCCTGCTCAGAGCATTGTGCGTCAGGTTGAGGCTCGCCTGGAACTTGCGAAATTCACAAACCGGGCCTGCTGATCATTGGCCTTGTTTCACAGTGCTTTTCCACTAGAAGTAATGTTACAGAACAGCGTGTTTATAAGCAGGTCCTTTCAGCCTTTGGATCTTCATGTCGTGTTTCATGCCATGAAACGTAGCAAGGCGGCAGCGAAGAGGTTTAAACACGTTGCGCGTGACTAACGCGGTGACTAATCAACATAGTGGATACCTACTATTTAAACTTTTCAAAATCCAAACCATTCGCCAACATTTAGTTTTATTTCCCACAGGTGCGACATAAAATGTTATATGCTGCGACCAGAGCCACGGTGAAGAAAGAGTTTGGAGGGGGGCACATTAAGGACGAGATTTTCGGTACCTCAAAGGTTGGTGTTACAGCGGCAACGCATGAAGGACTGTAGAAAGTGCTTTTCTGGCCTCAGGCTTCAGCCCCAAACCTTCCGCCCGGGTGAGATTTTGCATTAATGTGTCCACGTTGCTGTATGATGTGTGATTGTAATCTTTTCTTCCAGGATGAAATGACTCTCGTGGGATACAGGAAATATCTGGCCTCGCAGGCTGCTCCCCTGCCTCTCACTGCAGCAGAGGAGGAACTGAGAAAGATGAAGCTAAGCGAGGTGCAAACACACTCCCAACACATGAACACCGAACGAGACATTTCGACTGCATTTAGTCCCTCTGCCTTTTCCATTCACACACTTCTCTTGGGTGGCTCCAGTCTATTCCGAGATGGGCGTGGCTCAGCTTCTTTGTTCCAGCTCGACACCGCGTGACCATTGGGTTCGACGCTTAAAAATAGCTTCCCTCTGCTCCCTGCAGCCTTCTTCTTAACCACATACCTTGTCTGTGAGATCTAAATCCCGTCAGAAACCGTTTAGAGTATCAATGAGGGGCAGCAACGCACCCCTGTGTACAGCACAAGGGCAGGAGTGCTGCTAGTGTGCGCATGCTTTCCCGGCAGTATCGACACAGCGCAAAGATGCTGATGCATTACAACAGCCGCATGTGTGCAGGTATGACTCCATTGGGCTCAGACGGCGCCATAACAATCCTGGTTTACAGTCATGCTTCTGAATTCTGAAGTGGTTAAAGAAGAGCTATTATTTCCATGTTGTGAGAGCTATATGCAAATGATGCAGTGATTGTGCGTAAAGCAAAGGCGAGCTGTGCCATTGTGCTTTGCCTTGGTTGTGTCCAGTGATGAGATAAAGAAATGCCGTAACATGATATCCATCGCGTGCTGCTGATGATGCAAAGCGCTTCCGGGCCGAAGCCCAGACGGAATCCACCACGCAGAAAGGGGGGGGGGGGAAACGGCTTTTGAAGTATTCACTTTTCAGGCTTTGTAAAACTGCTCCCATATTTTGGCAATAAATGTTTCCTGATCCTGATAAATGAATCACAAGCAAACCGGACTTTGTCTTTGGGAAACTACCTTTAGTAATTGCTGCTCTGCAAGCCTGCTGCCGACAAACAAGCCCGCTCTGTCTTCCCTTATATGGAAGTGCTTTGGGTTTGTGCTCTTAAGTGTGGTCAATAAAAAGCAGCAGCAGAGCGAATAAGAAGTGAGGTTTGTGCTCGTCCCACTTGTCCAGCTGTTGAAAGAAGATAATATATCATTAATCTGTACCGCCGAGATGAGAAAGAAGCTTTGGAATATTCATCATTGCCTTGGAGACTGGCTGACTTTTACTGAGCAGATGGATAAAAGGACTGCAATCCCTTTTGGTTTGCGAGGTAGCTACATCGGACGCTCAATCATGTTTGCACGGCATTTCATTTAGTGTGAAAGAGGGCACTAAAAATAGATGCAATACATCAGTGTAATCCCCCCCCCACATTTCTACTTTTCTGTGGCGGCTCGTCACCGCGGACACAAGCGCCTCATGTGATCCTCGTGCTCCAGCATTCAAGCTACTTGTTGCGCTCGTACACCGTTTCACACTCTGATGACTCAAATTAAGAATTTTGATTGTATTTCACAAGTAGTCAGTACCATGGAAACCTGACAATCACACATGAGCTGAGTGATGACGTGTGTGTGTGTGTGTGTGTGTGTGTGTGTGTGTGTGTGTGTGTGTGTGTGTGTGTGTGTGTGTGTGTGTGTGTGTGTGTGTGTGTGTGTGTGTGTGTGTGTGTGTGTAAATAAATCCCGAGCATGTTCGTTGCTCCCGAGGATCCTCAGGAATGTGTCAGCGATGTGAGGTTAAAGTGCCTCGTGTCCTGTGGTGTGTTCAGGTGCAGACGGACATCAGCGTGGACACCAAGCAGCAGACTCTGCAGGGAGTGGCCTTCCCCGTTCACAAGGACGCAATCGCAGCGCTCGAGCGCTTTAGGGACAAAAGAATCAATTACGTTCAACTGGTGAGTCCTTTTGGAGCAAATCGTTACTGAGTAGGTGACCTTTGGCGGATCAATCATTGTGTCTTTCATTGCGCGTTGCTTGGGGAGAGAATAAATGTTTTCGGTCAGTGGTTATCTGACCAACACAATGAGGTACTTATTTTGCCCAAAAAGCCTTTGTTGCTCTCGTTGATGTCACAAGATGAGACCCGTACAAAGGAATTATTGTGCCACTGTAGCTGCTTTGTCTTGTTTCCCTTTTTGTCTGTTATCCTAAAAGCTTTTTTTTTTTTGTTTATCCAGAGAGGGCTTGGCTCAATAGCAGCTGTCAAGTAAATGTTTAACTCAGACAGCAGAGATCAATGGGGGATGTTATTTAATGTTTTAGTCCCTGCGCACACCCAGTTTGTCCAGTCCAATGTAATCGAATGCGGGGACTTCCTGGTTACAAGTGCACGCTACCAGCCTCTTCTCATTTGCTTTGTGAACAGGAAGTGGATGCTCAACAGGAACTGATTCGGCTGTGCAACACTGAGTCAACAGAGGTGAAAGACCTGCCAATGAGAATCCCTAAAGAATCTCCACGTTACCACTTCTTCCTCTACAAACATTCCCACGAAGGCGACTACTTGCAGTCCACAGGTGAAAAGATTCTGGGAGTGGGAGTGTCATCACACCGTGTTGTTTTATAGCAGTTTAATACCCTCAGTGTCCGCTCCTCCTAATCTTTTCTTTTGTCCCTTTGCAGTATTCATTTATTCTATGCCCGGGTACAACTGTAGCATCCGAGAGAGGATGCTGTACTCCAGCTGCAAAAATCCCCTGGTCGACATGGTGGAGAATACTCTCCAGATTGAGATTGAGAAAAAGGTGAGAAAGTCATCAGGATGCAACTCGACACCATACAAATCCGTTTTGTTGGCAAACTTTTAAGCCCTCAGAAAATATCAAAGTTAAAGTTTAGGGATAAAAATGAGGTGTTATTTATCAGGAATCAAACACTTATTTAAGTCATGAGTGTATGAGCATGGTTTGATCTTGAGCTGCAACAATTAGTCACCTGATCAACTATTTCCAGCTCATTTCATTTTCAAGTTAAAGTGGCCTTCTGCTCGTGATATAATGGTAGAGGAAACACTGCATGCGCAAAAAGATCCAATCCAGTAAGCGAAGTACAGCAGACAAACATCTGATACGTAATACAATGTTCATGTCTGATATTTGCCTTTTTATGGCAAAGTAAGTTTCAGTTGATTGTCATGTATGTCTGCAGTTGGAGATCGACAATGGGGATGATTTGACCAGCGACTTCCTGTACGAGGAGGTGCATCCCAAGCAGCATGCACACAAGCAGGCCTTCGCCAAGCCCAAAGGCCCCGGGAAGAGGGGGGGCCGCCGCATCACCCAACCACCGGCAGAGGAAGATTAAACCGACCGAGCGCCGCCTCCACCCCTGGCACGTTCCACAGTGGAGCATTCCTGCGATTGTGGGTGGGGAGGGGAGAGGAGGAGGGGGGGGGGGGGTCGTATTTGACACGCTTGCTTAAAAGAATAAGATGACCACTTAAAATTGCCACAAAGTTCCCCAGAGAGCCAACTATGCACGCCAAGGACAACTGAGCAATGACACACTTCAGAAACTCCATTTGTAGCTTGCCAAATGGAAGCCTGCGTCTGTATGTTAGCAGTCACAAGAACGAAAGAGTCCCAAACAGAGTTGAGCTTAAGGGTTCGACGTTGTTGCCAGCTCTGAGACTTTAAAAGGTTTCAGAGTGACTAATGTGAATTTGCGCCAATATGATAAAATCCCCAATTTTTGCGTTCACGCGCTCAAATACTTAACGTGCATTCCTTAAGTCTGTCAATTAATGTTTGTGTGTAACATGTTGAACATTTGTCTCCTGCTGTTTTCTCAACGCGGTGCTTCAAAGCAGAACAGCTGTAATCCTCCACTCGCGTCTATTGATTCATTTTAACAGTACATTTTATATTGGAAAATTGACTTCTTTTTTGATATAACTGTGGTTTACATGAAGAAAAAAAAAATCATCTGCTGAGGAAACTTATTTTTCTATGCAAGTGCTGTATATGTACATACTGTAGCTGTGTGATGATTATGAAACAGGTCTGTTCTGTTTGCCTGTGAGGAAGAACGGGCTTCCAAAAATATTACATTAGTACTTCAGACTCAGCTGGTTCCCATACAAAAGGACAAGTGAGCAAGCGGATAGGAAAGGGAATACTCAAGGTACCTTGATCAAAATGTCACCATGTCTACTGATTAATATTAGGAAAACTACTAAGGGAACATCATTTCCTCCATATTCATATTGTCTCATTCTAAAAAAAATCATGTTTAGTCTTATTTGTTTTCTTACAAATCTCTTTTAAAAGAAGAAAAATAAAATATTTAAATCACACTTTCTGCTTCATTCATTTTATTCTTTGGCAATAAATACGTAACAAAATTGTATTCAGTTTTTTTTAAACCGGCTTCACAATGGCATCACGAAATGTAACACCCCCCCCCCAAAAAAAGGATCCTAGTTGAAGCAATATCAATGCAAACATACTTCTTGGTCAGTCAAAAGAAAACGGTAATATGAAGGACGGTGGACGGTGCTTCAGTCCTGTGCGTTAAGAGTTCAGCGAGATGCTTTTGACAACTCCTTTAAGCTCCATCAGGACCTGTTAACGCACACAACACACTATCAGTGCATCAGATACAGAAAAGTATAATATCAAATAAGACCTCTGCCCTCTACCAAATGGTAGCAAAAACATTCTTGCAACAAGATCATGGCACAGCCTAAATGATATTTGTTAAATAAATACTTAAACAAAATGATAGAACGTGATTTTGTGTTTGCTTTAAGTTGATCGCTCATTACGAAATCACAGTTCGAAACTTAATCTACTCCTAATCGAGTAGTATGCTCTGCTATGGAATACTGAACCTTTTAGAAAAAGGAAACTTCATATTTGTGTTCATAAGATCTCATCTTTAGTAAAGACGCTGGTGGTTCTGGTCTTCACTGGATTATTTGGGAGGTTTAATAATAATATCTGAGTATCCACCTGCTCGATGACCGGCCGTCTGTTCTTCCTGTCGTGGAGGCAGCTGCCGGCCAAAGAGTAGACGCTCTCTACCTGGCTCGGCTCCCAGTCGCTCATCTTTTTGTCCAGGAAGTCCTCAAAAGTCAGCTCCTCGTCTTCATCGTCTATATCGTGCCTCATTTCCATCTGGGACAGTGAGGGGGGGGGGGGGGGGTTAAATGGCGACACAGGTGACTGAAGGCAGTTGACGGAACAGATGGAACTGGCTCCAGTCTTTAACGATCTGATAATGTTCCCTTCCCTTAATTAAACTGGGAATGTAAACGGCAGCTTGACGGACACGCGGTGAAAAGCCTCTTGTGTGCTGCTCACCAAGAACTGCGGCTCCCGCTCTTCATCGGCTGGCCGCTGTCCAGACAATATTTCTAACAACACCTGTGGACGGCGGAGAGGCTGGGTCAATGTCACGGCTCCGGACAACAGGAAACCTTTGTTACCTCCCCACAGGCACCGTAGTGTTTCCACAGCTGCCCCAGTAAGACACACAAGCTGGATATACTGCAGGATCTGGAAGGTCAGGCACCTTCATACGCTGCTGAGCCCAGAAATGCTTCAGGCGGTTTCATTAAATGAATAACATATTCGATATGTACAGCAAATACTACAGTGCAGCTGTGGAATTTAAAAATAAATAACAAAAGGACGGACGATGCATAAGAAAAAGCTGCGTTTTCACGTTCAGGTCGTGCAATTGTGCACGTCAGTAGTTTGGACAAACCTGAGTAGACCGCGTGGTCTCGGATTTCCATGCCGGTTGCAGTTTCTGCTTTTCCTGACACAAAACCGGCCCCCTGAGTGTCCGTGCGTGCGTTTGTGCGCGCGTCAGTGGAAAGCCTACCACTCCGAAGCTGAAGACGTCCGACCTTGGGGTGATCTCTCCTCGGAGCGCCTCGGGGGCCATGTATGCACGGGTACCCACAATCCTCTCCGTCATCATGGTGGTCGACGTCCGCTTGGCCGACGCTCTCGTCAGCCCGAAGTCGGAGATCTTCGCCACAAGGTTTTCATCTAACAAGATGTTCGCGCTGATCGGGGGGGAAGAAAGGCATTGTGGGTGAGTTCAAATACACGTATTCCCTCAAGAAAAGATCATGTGAAAGGGCGAGGTGTCACGTTTAATGTCACGATCGTGGAGCAACACAGGAGATAAATACTGTGGGCGATTGCATGTCGATTGCAACCTTTTCCCACAAAAGACGAAAGCCAGATGCGTCTTTTGGTCTTTCACGTACCTTTTAACATCCCTGTGAACATGATGGTTGCCGTGCAGATACTCCAGGCCTCTCGCTGTCCCTTCAGCAATCAGCGATCTCTGTCGCCAGGACAGCGGGGGACTTCCTTCCTGAAGAGGACAAAAGGAATGTTCTGAAATGACCTGCGGGAGTGCACAAGTACTGGAAGCGGGAGTCTGTGGTGTCGCGCTCACCAGGCAAGCCAGTCGGTCCAGCAGAGAGCCGTTGACCATAAGGGCGTACACCAAGCATGGGTGCTGTCCATCGCAGGAAAACCCAACCATGTCAACCAAGTTTTCATGTTTCAACCTGTGGAATAAACGATCGCATTTTGGAAATATCCTCATGTGCTGGTGTGCATTTAGTCATTGTAAATGCTGCGCGTTAAAAACCGAGGGCATTTGCTCGTCCCGGGCTTGATACAGACTGTCTTTCCAAGTGCTGTTGTAAAGCTTTTCAGCACTCTACCATTACTTTGATTGCTGATAAAACGTAATGGTTACGAGGCGGCTGTGAATCGCTCAAACCCAACCCGATTACCAGGGACGGAGCACAACACGTACACTCTCAGCGCCTGGATCTCTTGGTTGAACTGCACTTGCAGCTCGTCCAGGGAGATGTCGTCCATCTAAATGAGATCATATTTCACGTTGTGATTTGTTTAATTAACAAAGTATTGAGACGGGTTTGAGGATATTTTCACTTACTGGATTGAGCTTTTTCACTGCAACGGGTCGGTCATGAAGGAGCCCTTTGTACACGGTGCCAAAACCTCCCTCCCCCAGCCGGCTGCCGCCGTCTGATATGGGACGGTCGTCGAAGTTGCCAGTGATCTCCATCAGCTCATTGTACAAGAAACTGGAGAAGCCTGCTTAGAGACACGCGGAAAACAGGCATCCAATGGCCTGCTGTGGTTTACGGACTCAGTGGCGCCACCTGCTGGTCAATTCCCTCAAATCTGTTTGTTTTCAAAGCAGCAGCAGCAGCATCGTTTACAATGTTGCCGCTGAGGAGACGATGAAGATGTTGTTAAGCAGATGAATCAGCCTTCATCATTGTGACGAAAAGTAAAACACGTACTTTAGTATTGTTGTGTATTTCCGTTTATTTATACCTCACTGAACTACAATGTAAACCTTTTTAAAATGGTATTGACATATGAAAATGTTTTGTCCTCCACTACTTGTTTGGAAGTAAACGTTTGCTCTAAGTGTTCGCAAATTGTTTTATACTCTTCTTATACTTATCTGTTTTATTATTGTTGTTGGGTATTTTATGATGTTTGTAGTTGTCGGATTTAGTTTGACTTGTTGTTTCCTGATTCCACCACGTACAGTTCTCTATAACGTTATGTATTATAACTATGCTACTATACTATCCTTTTACTATTGTGTACAATGTGTATTACCTTACACAAAGGGAGTATATTTCAGTAAAAGTCCAAACTTGCACATATGGTATTAAAAACCAAGGTAAAAAAAGTGTGATTAATAAGGCCATATGCGTCACAACCTCCTCTCATCTACATATTACCACCATAACATGAATACAACATGTATGTTCTTACTGGCCTCTTTCTGATCGTGTAAACATACATCATAAACATCCTCTTAAAATATGGCGGGAGTGAGTTTGAATGACAGAGATCAACACCTGCGCGGCTCGGCCCGCTGAGCTCCTGAGGAATGTGTGATGGCAGAACGGAGACTTCAGGTGGGGCCCTCGTCTTCGTCTCCTCCAGTAGTCTGGTGGGGAGCCTGCTCTTTGTGTCCACAGCTGGAGACGCCCTTTGTGTCTCCTGTGTCTCCTGTGAGACGGCCCCTTGCTCTGCGTGTGGGCAGAAGGAAAGACTTATGTTCGTTGATAAGAGCGGTCTCCATACAGTAAAGTGGTTGTGACCACTTAGTGAGATGGACATTTATTCATCATCATATAGTCAACATAAATATTAAGAAGTAACATATTGTAGGAGGCCTTTCTGTCTACATGTTCAGTGAATATAACCCCTTTTGGTTTTTTGATCAGTTCCCCCTTATGTTCAGTATCAGCATGTATGTTTTCCCATTACATTTTCATGATAGTCTTCCAATACATTGTTACTAAAAGGTCCTTGTTATTGTAGTTTTTGTCCCTACCTGCCATAAGAAGCCAAACCTGGTGAAATTATTTTCAAATAAATTGAATAAAAATGGAATCAATGAATGGATAATAAGATCATTTCTGTACGTATTCACTTAAAGTATCCAGCTTAACTAAAATGACAAAAATGATGTCTGCTGTTATGAGGATGAGCATTTCCATATTGTCCTTTTTCAAACACCCTACCAGGGAGCAGCAGACTAGCAGCAGCCAACAACTTGCAACTCTTCAGGATGCAGACCAGTTCCCCCACTGTGCTGTTAGTGGTGCCCCAGTCCACCAGCAGCTCCACCGTGGGGCTTTTACCCTGAGCGGCGAGGCCCTCAAACCTCCTGGAAGAATACAGCAGATGAATGTATGACAGATTATATAGATATATACATACACATAGATGCTCCAGCTAAACTAAGCTTAAACAAGCCCTGGCTGGATTCACGTGACCTTTACCCTTACCTAACGTGCAGCTGAGAGTACCTCGGCTCCCCACTCGGCTTCCGTATCGAGGTGAGAACTTCCATCCACCTGTCTTGAGGGTCCAAAAAGTCGGACAACCTGCGACGTAAACTGTAACTAAGGTTGCGGATGTAAGAAGCGGAAGTGACCGAGTTATTCATTTTGGGGCGGAAAGGAAAGACGCGGACTCAAGCTGACTTGGCGCACATCTCACAGCGCCGTTACGCGTCTTGCTTATCCGCCGAGGACCCGTGAAGGCAGAACGGACGTGTCGCCCGCAGACTCTGCAACTTGTGCATTTCCCATATTGAGCAACTTCCCCAAACGTAACAGCGGCGCCGCCGTCGCTTTGGTCTCCGCCCCCGACACGCGGAACCACGCGCGTCCACGGTAGAAAAACGTGCACGCCGAACCGCGACGTCAGCATTACGCGCACACGGTGTGAATGTATAATAATATATTCAATATAACAACATGAAACCGATACACAGACAGATTCTGTGTCTTCCGATGTGCTCGAGGCGTGACAGCGCCCTCTGGTGGCCAACAGCAGGTACTTCTTCTACCGGTTTGAGGTTGAATTTAACTTATTTTACCTATTCATGTTTTAAGTTGTTATGCCAAATGGAATAATGTGAAAAGTGTCAGCATTTATTTAAAATAGAAACATCTAACACATCCAGAGGGGGGGCTCATACTATATTTGGTCCACCACTCCTGTAAATTGTTTTAGATGGATTAAGTATTGGCAACAAAATGTGCCTGAATATTACGGGGGGTAATTTAAACATTTGGAAAGGCAAGTGGACATTTAAAACATTAAAAAGAAACTGATTTAAAGAATCTTACTACACAAACACCTAAGAACATTTGTGTCAGTCCTTTCACTTAAGATGTCATTTGGATCCACAGCCGATTCCGCTTTGATACTGCCTTATGTTGGCAGTACCGGACCTGTTGTACCCGTGTGTGTGTGTGGATTTATGAGTGGTTTTACTGGCTGATTAGAAGCAACGGTTCATGTGCAACACTGTGTATTTACTTCCTGAGTAGGTCACTTAGTTAAACTAAAACCACAGACCATGCTTGGCAAAGGACACCAAACTAATTACCAGCAGAAAGGCCTTTTGGACTGCGGGGAATAAAAGACCTAATCAAACCCAACTCGTGCCAAACACCATCTATAAATTTGCAAACGAATGAAATCATTTGGCTTAAAGAGCATTGAGAAAATTTACTCTTATTGTGCAGCAGCAATCGTTCAGCTGTTCATGGCACTTGTTGCTATTCACCTGGTGTTTGTTGAATTATGATCCATTCCACGTGGACTAGAGGCTCGGCTGATACTGGATGGGAGGGGGAATAAGTTGTGAAGTGTGTGTGTGTGTGTGTGTGTGAAGAATGTCATATTTACAAACTATGCGTGTGAGACCACATGAAATAAAACTGAGAAATTATGTGAAGCTACACGTAAACCCACCGTATTTTAATAATACCGATTCAAACACTGACCAAAAGCATATGGCTAATACACGCAAAACTAATCTTTTTTAATGTCACATTGGCTTTTGTGTCAAATCGGACGGGCGACTTTTATAATGTTTTTCATAGCTGAGCATTACTTCCTTTTATCCTCAGGCAAACAGCCAGGAGATCTAACCGGAGGGTCCACCTTCACGCGCCTGACGGGCCTGTTTATTATGTTTTTAGGCAAAGTGCATGACTGTTTTTTCTCCCCCCCTTTTTATACATTCCGGTTATACGTGCATGCACGTGGCCTGAATTACGTCAGATGAAGACTCCTCCACAGGTGCAAACAAACTGAAATGAAGTTATTTTGTAATGAGAGCCATCGCTGCGGTCGTGGCCGCCAACAGTGTGTGTTGTCTTTACTCCTGATGTTTATCGCAAGCAAAAGGCCTCACAAAAAAGTGTGTGTGTGTGTGCAATGTGTGCGCACTGCATTGGGGTGTGAACACAACAGACAGACAGAGGAGGGGGGGGGGAGCAGTTGGGTGTAACATCTTGTAATGTAAAGCTATCCCCTTCAAAGGAGACGACATGTGACCACAAGCCACTGAGCACTCAGATTAATGCTGTATGTGTGTGTGAGAGTGTGTGTTAGCGCCATTGCATCACTTTGTGTGGGATTGCCCTCACACCTGTGCAGAGGAGATTCTTTGAAGTGCCTAATAATCTCCTGCGTGCCTCCTCTGACCTCAGTGGCAGCATCCCAACTCCACACAGTTCACACGCAGAGATGGGGAGCAAGGCCAAAGTCTGGGCTCCTCCTGTGGTGAGCTGGGAGATGGAGGGGGGGGGTCAAACAATATGAGAGAGGAGGAAAGAAGGAGGGCGCGAGGATCTGAGGAAAGATGGGAAGGAGGGAGGAATGGTTGCAGGAGAAAGTGAGAGAGGGAGCCCCCCCACGGTTTAGGAACAAGAGCAGAGGCAGGAGAAATGCCAGAGTGGCTTAAATCACCGGGGAGAAACTCTGCAGGTGGAGGAAGTGATCAGAGGAAGTCATGTGATGTCCAGGAAAGCAGGGTAAACGAGGACAGAGACGAGAGACGGGCCAGGTTTGAGCCTCGTGTCCTTACACTTTTTAAAGGTATGACCCAGATCCCCCCAAAACACGCTGCTTAAGTATTTAGTTTGCACACAGTCAAGGAGTTGGAACTAAGAAGGTAATTCAAACATTGTTGCTGGGTGTGACAAATCTTATTTAATTAACACACTGTGTTGTGTATGAAATCAGAGAAGAACATTAATATAAATGCAGATTTAATGTTAAACCCTATAAATGGTGTTTCATCATACAATTCCGCCTGCATTTTATTTTGCAGCATTTTGGAAGGATGTATATATTAAATCTCCACTAGTACTGCTCACCGCACTAAGTAATTAACAGCTTAACACCTAGAATAAGACACCCTGTGATGAATCTCACTGAGTAATTACCGACTTTGGAAAGGCGCTCCCCAACTCATTAGACGAAAAGCGACAGATTCATCGCGTTCGCGAGTCAACGTGTACAGTGGCTGCCATTAATTAGCAGTCTTGTCGTGCAGTGTGACGGTTCACCCGGCTCATCGGAGGTCTCTCACGTCGGAATTCGAATGAGCCAAATGAATGGGAGGACTCGCCCGGGCAGACAGAGAAGAGCCAACGGGGGGTCCGGGCACAGCCGGAGGGCCCAATAGAGGAGCCTCAATGTATGTGTGATAGGCCCAGCGCCCCACGAGGCTTCTAGCACCCTGCCACTGGTGGACCGTCTCCCTCCCAAACTGGAACACTTGTGAGACACACTTTTTTGAGGGGAACCCCCCGGGAGTCTAGCGCACTTTATTAGCTTTTGTTTTGGATGAGTTTTATCACTACATCAGAGCATTCACAGCTGCGTTTACACTTCAATAAGAGCCAGACCGCACTGTTGAACGTTTAGTCAGCCGCTTTTGTTCCAATTAAAAGAGTGTAGTCACTCGTGTCACACGTAGGGGGCAGTAGTGGCTTGCCCCTTCTTCTAATTGACCATTGTGATCAACACACAACATATGCTTAGACCTGCTGAAAACTGCATGTGGACCAAACATAAATCACATAAAAAGAAAGGAATGGCAACATTCTTACGAAACCAATGTGATTGACCGGGGTTCACACAATGTGAGGCAATGTGACCAAAGTCAGAGTTAAAGCCATTTGTTGTGTTTGAAAAGGCTTGAGCTCAGCAACTTGTCATTTGTCTTCAGCCGGTTTCTCTGCAGCGGCAGATGTTCGCTCGTCCGGTTCTTTTCTTATGGCCTGAAACTCGCACACACGGCAACGGCTCATCAGGAGGCCGATCTGGCGGCGTTCTGAGTGGCAGCCCGCGGTTGCGATGCACTCGAGTGGTCACCGACACTGCCTGATTGCAGGAGGTTGCCCTCTCATATTCTCTCAAAAAATCTCTGGCCACAATCCCAAAATGATCTGTCCAGCCGAGCGTACCAGCATGAGGGGAAAAAACAAAAAGAAGCCTCCCCTGGCATCTCCACGGCTTCAAGGCTTCTTGTTAGTCGTGGTGTATTCTGGGACATCTGGCCGAAAGCCACGAGTCGTGCGATGCAAAGACACGCACGTAAGCGCCTGAATGTAACAGGGCCAGACACATGGACACAGGCAAGATGTAGTTATTGTGTTTTACAGAGGTGATGGGAAAAAGAATCCAAAATGAACATTCACTCTAACTGGTCTTTAGAGAAGAAAGAGGCTGGATCTGATAAAAAGTAAAAAGAGTCCAGGCTGGAGGAGCGTGTGGTCGTGTGTACGTGTGCCGTAAACCAGTGTGGATCAAAATGGACAAACAAAGCCTCATTCTGACTCCAAGTTCCTCAAGGCCACGCTGCTCCTGGATGGCGCGTGTTGTCATGAAAAGGCTATGCAAGTTTGAAATAAACATTTCAATGGCGGCGACTTGGAGGCCGTCCTGCATAAGGACACATTCACCCGTCGCATGATAAAAAAAAAAAAATCAAAGGCCGGCCGGTTCACTGAGACGAAGGGCTCTGATGATGGATGAGGCGATGTTTAATGCCAAGGCCCTGACCTCCATTTCTTCTGGTGAACCTGCCTCACTAAGGTTACTATTTATCAAGTGGTCTTGCTTTTAGGCGATCATTTCTTTTGCTTGTCATAGTAAATGTGGAGTCAGTTTGTCTGGTTTGCATTTAGTGTGGTCACGTCAGTCCATGATGGCACAGTCAGTGGGTTGATCTGAACGCTGAACTTAATACGGTAACTCAGGTACTGTACTTGAATACCAAATTTGAGTAACCTTTCCCTATTAATCAATTGTATACTTCTGTGAACTCCAATTTTCTCTTTTTGTAGCATCCCAGTTCAGTGAAAACCACATTTGAGAAGATTAGTGTCAAATTCCTTATTGATTTAAATGAACTATTTAAGTTGTCGTTGAGCCTCCGTTGTTGGCATCCAGATTTCAATAGGAAGATGCATCGTGTGGGCCCCAGACCCCCCCCCCCGACATTAATGACCAACTTGGAACCCGAGTGGACGAAAAACAAACAGGCTTGTTGAATTATCGTTTTGATTCTGAGAGGATTTTCACAGGCTTTGACTGTGGCCGAATCACGGCCAGCCAGGGGTCAAGGGTCAAGTCGGTGACATCTCAGTTGGTTTCTCCCCCTTTTCAGTTTTCATGAGAATTCCCTAAACACTGGAGAGGAGCTTTCTTTGAGACGTCTAAAGATGTGGAGAGGGTTCCAACCCCAGGTGGGCCGCTGCACTAATCTGTTGGAGCCTCTGCACACAAAAGCGTTTTTTTCGTAATGGGTTACAAGTTCCTAATTTGTTGAAGGTTTTCTGATCTCTCTTT